ACATAAAATTCATAATGAGCACTTTATTTGCAATATCGTAGTACAATCTTCTTTCTTGAACTTCAGGTTCACATCTTCTTTAATTGAAGAATATATATAATCTAGCATATGTCATGGAATTTATCTTCCATTCAACTCCTTCAAAAACCTTCCCTCAGTGTCTACCTACCATTGTGGTACCTTGATAATTTCTTTTAATTTATGCCCACTAAGCATCTGCTCCAAATAATTACCACATAAATGAAGATTCAAAAACCAGTATAAAATGCTTTGTTCTCATAATCAAAAGTATAGCCACCAATTCAATGCATTTTGCATATTAACTAGAGCTACAGGCTCTTATGTGACTAATGGTGTTCAACATAACCTATAAATTATGTCCATAGGACAAATATCATAAACTTCGGGTTACGAGTTAATTGTCAACAAATATGACAAATATAACGATGCATCATATATAACATTTAAATTGTGATCACGAATAGTTGATGGGCCCAATCAATTATCCTTGAACAATTTCTTAATATGTATGAAATGAATCTCAAGTTTCATTAGTAATAATCTCATAATAATCTTCTAATGAGAACAAGACTATAGGATCTTCTGGTCCTTATAATAACAGAAACTTGTTCTTCAAATAGTACTCACTTGAGTTCTTAATGATTTTTTTCTTCCCACCACAAACTAAAATGTGATAATTTAATTGGTTATGTTTAAAATAAAAATTGATTCAGTAAACTTCTCAATCAAGTGTCATGTAATATTCATTTCCACTGGTATCTTAAACATTGATAGAGACACCATAAACAATAAGGATTTAATTGTTTATACCCAATAGAATATTCGTCAATGAAGGACAATAACTATTCTATCAAAATATTCAATATTTATGAGACCTTTATTACTTCTATTATGCAGCTCTTATTATGCAATGCTCTTCTGGAGCTATCTATCAGTTTTGTATAAAAAGAAAATTATATCCACACAAACTTCTTTTATCACAAGAGAAAAGAAGCTCTTACATCTAAAAAAATATAATATGTATAATCACTCCTTTGATTATAATATATTAACTACGTCATTCTCCTGGAACATCGATGAGGAATCATGTATAGATTAGAACAAAGGTCTTGAAATATCAAAATGTCTCTTTTTAATGAGATTTTTTTTATACTAAAAATCTGTAACGCCCCGAAATCTGGTCCAAAAGAATTAATTAAATTGTTAGAGCAATTGATTACGAATTGGGCCCAATAAGGGGTTAAAATTATAATTTGGATTTTAAGCCCAACTTTTATGTCATCTCGTAGGAAATATTTTTGTGATCGCGTCGGTTCAGACGGCTCGCGAATCGGAGTTATGGAGCTCATGTTATGACCATTTAATCAGGTATTTTGGGTCCGAAGCCCAATCCTTTTAGGAATGGGACCATTAAATAAACCTAAACCCCAACCACACAATCCTTATCTTTTTTTCGTTCGTTCTCCTTCTTCTTTTTCTTTCTTCTTCTTCTTTCTTCTCCTTCTTCTTCTTTCTTCTTCGCCGCCCAGCCGGTCGCCGCCGTACAATTGGAGCAGCCGCCCAC